TGGAACATAGTGGTAGAGAGGGAAGGGAATTGTCTGAGTACTCCAGTGGCTAAAAATAATTTCCTCAGGGAAATTTCCTAGGGGGACTGATGGTGTCTTTTCATCTGTACTTTAATGAGTTTAATCACCATTTCCGCTTGTGAATTATCAGGAAAGCCACCAATCATTATTGACTGTCATTAAATTGTCATTAAACTGTTTAATGACTAACTCATGTAAACATGCAGGAGCCAGTTAGCTGCTCTTGGTATCTGGGTTTTCCATTTGACTTCTGTCCACAGAACTGAGTTAGAGACTTGCCAGTAGGAGGAAAGGTATCCAGGTTGGCATCAGAGAACTGTCCTCTTAACCCAGCTCTCATGAATGTTCAGGACTCATAAATCACCATTTGTGCTTTTCTTCTGGAACAAATTTAATTGACTTTTTGCTGCCTTACTGGGTGAATCCCAAATTCATACAAGGAACTGTCAGGAAGGCTGTGCATTAATTCATGAGGAGTCCCCAGGAACACTAGCAGAAAAGAAGGCAGTGGGACAACATGCATGAGGTGGTTTAAAGAAAATAAAGGAGTAAATAAAGGAACTTTAATTTAAACAAGCATTCAGAAATGACTGTGTGGTATTTGACCTTCTCAGGTAAATCTGTCAGGTGGTGATTTTTGTTTGCTTGTTTATTAAAGAATTTTAAAAACTGGATTTTACTAGAAGTCAGTGAAACATAAGGACTTAATATTGTCAGAGGGTATTTTGCCTTCGAAGTCAGGGAGATGGGCTCAAAATTGTATCCCTCTTGTAGAAAACAGCAAAACTTCTTTGTATCTGCTTTGTTCTTTTGGGGTTTTTTTCCCTTTTCTTTATGGTGTGGTAATACATCTTATATTGAGGTACTTTATCGTTGCCCCTACCCCTGCATCACTTAGTTATGCACTGGGAAACTGCTTCTGAGTAATGCCTTCAGTGCTTGCTGGTTAGTAGAGATTTATTTAGGCAGTCTAATGAATAAGCAAGAACTCTGTACAGCACAATTTACATACAGAAATTAAGCAGTCAACAGGTTCTGCTTGATAGAAATAGTCTCCTTGAATTCTTCTGCTGCTTTAAAATTTCCATGGCAACTCAAAGCCAGACTTCTTTCCTGGCTCAGAACATGCTTGTATTCTCTGGAGTGGATATTGGTTTTGGAATTCTGCATGTCATTTGCAATCCATGGTCCCATTTGTCCTGGAGCTGTGTTATTAAAAGCTGCTGTTTGCCTTGCTCTGTGTGTGTATCCCCTGTAACAAACACTGTTTGCTTTTCCGTGCCAAGGTGTTACATCCTGGAGAATGACACTGTTCAGTGTGACACAGATCTGTACAGGTCACTGCAGGCTTGGAAGGACCATAAACTTCATATTGACCACGAGGTCAGTGCTGCTTTCAGAGTGTGTTTTCAGCAGGGTTTTCTGTGGGCTGATAGGATCATGCTGACTGTGTGTGTCTGTCTGTCTGCCTCTGGGTGTCTTTGTCCCTCTCTGGAACCTTTTGAACTTGCTGGCTGATTTCTGAACAGACATTTCAGAGATAATTGAGTTAGTACAAGTTGTGAAGACAGGATGCTGAGCGAAGGAGAGAACTGTGACTGAAGGCACAGCTGAGAGGTGTCATATGAGATAAATAAGACTTGTAAGTGTCCCCATCCTGGGAAAAAATGAATCTGGATCTTTCTAACCTTTTAATAGCCCTGCTCTGCCAGTGTACCTCTCACAAACAGGATTTCAACATCAAATATAAGACCAAGGAAAAGTGAGGTCCATTAGTTTGGTGCTTCCAGGATTAATTTCTTTTGCTTGCTTGTGCTTTTCTTAACCCTTGCACTTTGGAATTGAATTTTTTCATAGGCTTATGTATATGAAGAAGCCCTATGAAATTTGCCTGTAAAACATCATCTGATATTTTTGTCACTAATATTTAAGAATGCAAGCTCAAACCTTTCACATGTGTTGTGTACAAAAGAGGGTCTAGGGATCCTCTTCCAAGGACCAGGCAGTGGTGGAACAAATGCCAGAGAGGAGCATAAAGGACAGACCTCCTGTAATCTCTTACCAAATTACATAAATTCACAGCAAAGTTCTGTGTAGGAACTTCTTGATCCCCTTTTATGGTACAGTTGACACACAAGGCAGATACTGAAAAATTTACTAGTCTGCAAAGATTTAAAAGGGCAATTTCAATCTCACCATGTTCTGGTGATTGTTTTTTCTTCAGAAAACTTGGGCAGTGTGGAGTGTCAAAGGACATGAGAGCTCGCCTCTGTCCTGTTGTGTTCCTGATTTAGGGTCACGGGGCTGGACTCTCTGTGTATTTTCCTTGAACACCCTGTCCTGTCTCTGCTCCAACAGCCATGAGCTTCCACATCAGTGGCTTCTGGTCACTGATGGCTCGTGGTAGTTCTGCACTGTTGTTCACAGTGGATTACACTGGTTTTTTATGCTGTGGAGAGAACTGAGGTGGAGGCCTGCAATACCTGAGGGCACTGCAATACCACCCACTGTGTATAACCAGGCTGAACAAAAGCAGGAGTTCCATTTAGTGAAAAAGCCAAGCAGTTCACAGTAAAGCCCTGTGGGTGGCACAGTTGACTGCTGGTGGCTGTGCCATGTGGGCAGACACTGCTAAAGCCTGCCATGCAAACAGGACCTTGCTTACAGAGCCTCTCAAGAGGGATTTCAGAGCACTCCCTCCCCATCCCCTTTGTGGTGTCAGAACAGGCTGAAATTTAAAGGTTTCATTTTTCTTGGAGCAACCTTTCTCCCCTTGCAAATGTGAGCCAAAGAGGAAAAATCCCAGTGGAAGCAGGAGTGTTTGTGTGCCCCTCATTCCCTCTCACAGTCAAGAGTGAGAGCTGGCAAACCAGCGAGGCTTCCTCCTGCTGGAGTTTCCTTCTGGAAAGTCAGAGAGTTCAAAAACACTTGTTAGTGGTGAGAGTCATGGCTGGGAGTGAAGAGGAAGCATTTGGTGACAGCAGAATGGGTTTGAGAAGGTTAGAGTAAGACTAAATCATGCTGTATTTTTTTAACCTCTATCTTTTCCATTTTTTTTCCCCTTAGATTGAAACCTTGCAAAATAAAATAAAAAACCTGAGGGAGGTGAGAGGTCATCTAAAGAAGAAACGGCCTGAGGAGTGTGATTGTAACAAGATAAGGTATTTCTTGTGTACTTCAGAATAATTATTTGTAGTGTGAAACTGTAACTGATTTATCTCCTCACAGGAGGGATCAGGATCTGGTTTGTTCAGTGGTTGCTTGCTTACTCTGCCCTTGAATGTGCTTTCAGGGGAGTTGGGCTGCTGCCCAAGTACATGACACACCTTCTCCCAGGCAGGAGTTTAATTGCCTGTGTCAAGTGGTGATGATGTAACGTGGCTTGTAAACCAGTTAGTTCTGCTCTTGCACTGAAGCTGCTGCTGTTAAATATCAGAGATGAATATTTTAAGCTGCAGGGTTCTTTCTGGCAGCTTTGACACGGGCAAATTGTGGTTATGGTGCAGTGTTACACAAATCTGTTAAAAAACAGTGGGAAGATGAGAGGATTTCTTCCCATTCAGTTTTTTTCAAGGCTGGATGTATTATCTGCTAAGATGAAATCACTGCACTATTTAGCAGCTACATCTGTTGGGAGATGCAGGAATTTAACAGCTGGTGCAGAGTTACCTGTATTTGTAACCACCACTGGCTCAGGGCAACAGAGACTTCTTTCCCTACTCCAGATCACTTGTGCATTAAGTGCAGGAGGCACTGGAGTAGTGATCAGGTGTTAAGGTCTCTGCATAGTTGGTTCTTATACAGTCAAATATTTGCAAAGTGGCCACAGGGTCAGCCCACTGATTACATGGAAAGGAGGTTCATAGAATCACAGAACATTAAGGTTTGAAAGGGACCTCGAAGATCATCCAGTTTTTCAGACTAATATAGGTTACACTTACTTGTATTTGTGCACAGCATTTTTAAGATGACTAATCCTACTCAATCCTAATCAATGAAGTTTTATCATCCGAGTTATAAATGTTCATGTGTTTGCAGAACTGCATTGCTCTAGAATTATTTAATCTGTGCAAGGTTAAAAAAACCTGAAGGAGATAGTTCCTTATTAATCTTACTTTGTTAATTTGTTATAAGGATTAAATTTAGGAAAGCTCTCAATAGCATTAAGAATTTAAAAGATTTGTTTTGAAGGGAATTTTAATCTGCTAACTAACTGAATTCAGAACAACAACATTTATTAAACTTCGTTTGGGTTTGACAATTTTTTTGGGTAGTAACTTTATTAGTCAGAAAACACTGCCATTGGCTGAGGCTGTCTTGTCTTTTTTTTTTTTTTACATTTGGTAATTCCATAGAAAGGAGGCTTCTGCAAAATCATGAAAGGGTTTCTGGAGACAGAGGCAAAGCAGTGAGCAAGGGTGTGTGTGTCTGCTTACACCCTCATATCTCAGAATATATTAGTCACTGCTCTTGCTGGGACAGTTCAGTCCATCTTGTTAGCTTTCCTGGAACTTCCAGCTACTAACAAAGGAGGAAGGAAACCCCCTTCCCCCAACCCTATAGTACAGCTGGCATTGAAATTCTTCCATTCAGAAGGAAAATAACAGGAAGGTGGTATAAGCTGGTCATCTTATCAGCTGAACAAATGGGTGACTATCCAGTGGAAGAAATGTTGTAATTTAATTATCAATCTGTTTGCTTTATCTGCCCCGTGTAGGGAAACAAGCAGTTAAAACTGAAATCCTAGTAACCTGTAGCTGGGGCAGTGTATGGCTCGAGCCTGCAGTGCGGTGGGAGCACACCGGGGGTCACTGTGGGCACAGGAGCCGAGGGAAGGGCACAGGGAGCTGGGAAGGGCCCGGCACGGTCCAGTGAGGCTCTTTATTCACTGTCCACTAACGAACGGAGAAGTGACACTGGATTAAATCTGCTTCAGACCCAGTCTGATAGTGTGGCACAAACAGGAGTGGTTGTCTTTGTTCACCAACAATGCTGGTTTTATTTTCCAGTTATCATTCAAAACACAAAACCAAGCTGAGGCACAAGGGATCCAGTCTTCATCCTTTCAAGTAAGTGAAGGGCTGTTCCTTTGAAAGAGGATGTGCCAAGTCATTATAACATTTGGTCCACACAAACTAAGCAGAAGTACTAGTGCTTCATTTATCCTGTATTAAAAAGCATAAACACAGAGACACTGGGCAAGGAACTAATGCTAGTAAATTCTGAGATAAGGTTCCTGCTTTGGGAAATGTCATATCACAGACCTCAGGCATGCCCTGTAAGCCCCTTTGGCTGCATTTTCATTTTCCAGTGCTGTTGAATTACAGAGTCATCTCCATCTGGAGGAGAAGCCATTTAATTAAAAAGATGTTGATTCTTTCCCTCAGAGCAGCTTATTTTACAAGCTTTTTGGGGTTTTTTAGGTGCATTCAAGTGTAACAGAGTTTGCATGACCCTGATGTTTCGTGTGTGCAGGAAAGCCCTCCAGGAGAAGGACAGGCTGTGGCTGCTGCGGGAGCAGAGGAGGAAGAAGAAGCTGCGCAAGCTGCTGAAGAGAATCAAAAACAACGACACGTGCAGCATGCCCGGGCTCACCTGCTTCACCCACGACAACCAGCACTGGCAAACTGCTCCCCTCTGGACACGTAAGGATACTGGAAACTCGGGAACAGGGAGGTGGGTTCTGGCTGGCCCGGGCCGGGCTGTTGGGTTCCGAGTTTGGGGTTTCAGTGCCTGTGTAGCCAAGGCTGCCCCAAAGGAAGGAATCTGTTCCAGTGCTGCACAAAAGGCAAGGGAGGTAAAAACAACTGCAAGTAACCAACAGACAGTGCACAGTGTACAGTGATGGGTGTGGTACCTCACCATCTGGAATGTTTCCCAACTGGACAAGACATTGCTTTAATGAGCCGTGTGGTGTGGGTTAGGTGTGCACAGAGCAAGAGGCTGATGCTGGAAGGCATTCTCTGCTTTAGAGCTCAGGAGTGAGAGTTACCCTCTGTGAATCAAGTAATGCTTATAAACAGAAATAATTAGCAGTGCTAAAGACTATAGCTGATGCCTTTATAACTCTTCCATTTGCAGTGGGCCCTTTCTGTGCCTGTACCAGTGCCAACAACAACACGTACTGGTGTTTGAGGACAATCAATGAGACCCACAACTTCCTGTTCTGTGAATTTGCTACTGGATTTCTGGAGTATTTTGATCTCAATACTGATCCATATCAGGTATCTGATCACAGACCAAGATCACAGCTGAAGAAATACACCATTTTTCCTCATTGATGATCAACTGAAATTGCCCAGTATTGCTGCAGGATGTAATTTAAGGCCTCTATCACTTAAACCAGTATAATTTGGCTCTTTCCTGTTACAAATAAAGCACCTGTATTCCATATATGCAAGCTATCAAACTACAGAGCAGTAGTTACTAACAAGAACCCCCTGTTTATTGCAGCTAATTAATGCAGTGAATACGCTCGACAGAGATGTTCTCAATCAACTGCACGTCCAGCTCATGGAACTCAGGAGCTGCAAAGGGTATAAGCAATGCAATCCAAGAACTAGGAACATGGATCTAGGTAAGTGCCTCTCCTGTTGCACTCACAAACCCCCCAAAAAGGAAATGGGGCTCGCTCTTACCGTTATGAAACTTGAATCAGTCAAAAGGATTTTAGTATTTCTTAATACTGGCAATGTCCTGCTGAGGCTGGTAACTGCATGCTTAGATTTTTGTAGGTGTTCAGTTTGTGTTATGTGATGGTTTTAAAATTAAGAATGATATTTAAATAGCCTAGTGATGAGTGTTACAGAGATGCAGAGGATGATGAGGAAAGAAAGATACTGGTGAAAGAGGGAAAGAATACCCTGATAGCCACTATCAAGCTCAGAGGCCAGTTCAAGTTGGAAGAGACTTGTGGAGTTCTGCTCCAAACTTATGCTCAAGTGCAGGGTCAGATGTGAGGGCATGCCAGGTTACTCAGGGCAGTGGGTGATCTGTTAAGTTATTGTCTTTTTTAAAACTGTCTTACCTGATACAGGCAATCCCAGGTAACATTGTTAATTTTTCTTTACCTAGGACTTAAAGATGGAAGCTACGAGCAGTACAGGTACATTTTAAAAAAAAAGTTACATTATTATTGTTAAATGCTACTTTCATGCTGAAAAAACAAGTGTGGGATTGGGAACCACATGGACAGGCATGGCCTGGAAGGGCATTTGAAAGGCCCTTCCACCCCAGTTGCTTTGAAACTTCTTTGTTTCACGTTCTAACTTCGGTAGTCAAAACTCAGGCTGAACTCTTCTCCTTCCTCATCTTTCAGACTGTAGTGCTGCTGGTTTTCTTGGTGATGGTTAACCTTTTTCTCCTTTTGCTGCTTGAAAATTAGGCAGTTTCAGCGTCGAAAATGGCCAGATGTGAAGAGACCATCATCTGCCAAGTCACTGTGAGTTGGGAGCAGTTCACCAAAAGCATTTGCTTTTGCTTTAGCTTTTTCCTTTTCTTTTTGCATGCAGCACCTTTTATAACATCATCATCCATTCTCATGGAATGCTTAAGTGGGAAGTCCTCTAAATTATGCAAGAAATATGATACTTGCACATCATTACTGACAACAGCTGCACAAAACCTCTTGGTCCGTGTTTTCTGGCACTCCAGGAGCGTTAAGGTCAAGGCAATTTCAAACGAGTAAAGGTGGATGCTCAGCTGAAGAAACCAGTTATGGTCAACTGCCAATTAAATTTAAAGACCAGGATGTTGGTTCTGCCTAAATTTAAATTAGTAGCAGCTACCTTGTGGTTTTTCACCCAATCCAGAAAGAACAAAACCGACTGTAATTTCTCGCGAGCAGGGAGACAGTACCTTGTACTTTCTTGCTCTTTATCCGACCACAGCCTTCTGTTGTGAGCAAAAAAAGGAAGTTAAAACAGAAAGTAGACTACAAGACAGATTTGTATCTGAGAGTACTTTTTTTCTTACTGAGCTGCCCTTTAAAACTTGACAATGATATTCAGTTCTCAACCTGCCAGAGCTCAAAGGCGAGATACAAATTTAAGTACTTAAAAAGTTACTGTCTCGGAATCTCCCCTTAAAAAGAAGGCAGAGATTTCAGTTCATTAAAAATCATAAAGTGCTCTCAAACTGTGCAGTGGAAAAAATATGCACAAGTCCCTTCCTAGACAGAGTCTGGCCTTCTCACTCGCCCAAGAGGATTTGCTCATGTAATACAGAGTATTTTTATTTCTGGTTGAAGAGATCTAAGACTGGCTTTAGAACCAGAATGAATCTTGAATTAACAAGCTTTGTACAGGTTGAAGTTTCAGAGTTGGATTGTTTCTGTCATACACCTGCTATGGTTTTATAGGTGGTGCACAGTGTTTCCATTGTTTTTTACTGCATGGAATCATTAAAAAGATTTAACTGCTTTCTACTGGAATGTTATGCACTAAAACTGTGTTTGTTTTATTTTAAAGAGGACAACTGTGGGAAGGCTGGGAGGGCTAATCTCCCCAACTGCTGCACCTCCATGAGGATACAAACTGGCCAGAACTTGAATCCGTGTACAGACTAAATGAATTGTAACATTAGCCTGAAGGACTGGATAAACTTTGAGGCTGAAATAGGTAGAACGTTTGCACTGGTGAGTGAGTTGAATAGATGCAGTGAAACTGTGGGAAATGCTGTCAGAAATACAGGTCTCTGAACTCCACTATTGTACCTGCTTTTTGCTTTGGATTATACCTCACCTGCTTCACGAGGCATTTTACTTCCAAGAAGACACAAGTAACGCTGAGCCAGGAACTGAGAGAAGAGGAAGCACAGCCCCATCCCAAAGGGAGCCATTCCAGCGGCAGCGTTTATAGACAGCTGAGGGAAACTCCAAACAATTGTCAGTTCAACTTCCTCTTCAGTTGTCACCAGAAACACTTCAAAGCCAAGTCCAACTCTAAAGCAAGATTTAGAATCATGGATGCTTTTGCTTCTCACTGGGGTGAAGGCAGGGGTCGAACAGAACTTTGAGCAGCACTGAGTGTTCTCAACACCACGACATTTCTCCAGTCTCCTCTGAGGATACATTTTAGTTCCACGTCTGTCTGTCCATCCTACTGCCACCTCTATGAAGATCAGAGAAAATCTTCACTAACAGATCTTTGGAGGGGTTGTGTAAAATATTGCTCAATATACTGTTTGCAAAGCAATTCCTTCAGGTTGTAAAGAATTTTGTTAATAAAAAGAGTGTAATGCCCACGCCCCGTTTCTCAAAATGTTACTTACTGTGGCTTAGGACATGTCAGAATTCATCCATTTTTAGAAGTACTGAAAAATTTCAGTAAATGTACATCTCAAATTTTAACAAAATCAGATTTGTATGAAGGTTTTTTTTTGTGGTAATAGCTTATTGTGTGTTCAAAACCAAAACAAATCCTTTGAGAAAGCGGCGTTTGCTCAGCAGTGTAACTTCTACATTTATTTTTTAAAAAAGGCAGCTCTGAGAAGTTCAATACTTGTAGTCAATAAAGAATAACCTAGTTAATAGTTTAGTCTACAAAAAAAGTTGAAGTTCTGAATGACAGTTACTGTTTAAAGGCTTTTAAAGGGAAAAAAAAAACCCCTATCATTTTACTAAAGAAGCACAGTGTACAGAGTTATTTGAGTATTTTCATAAGGACATTATTAAATACATTGTAGTACAGGCCATTGTAGCACAGGCACTAGTGGTGAGATTTGTATTTATAATCCATGTTACTCTGCTACCTGTTTTAAAGGCACGTGCCCGAGGGTGCTCACGGGGCAGGACTTGACCAACTGTGGCCTTCAATCCTAACAAAGAGGTACTTTTTCTTTTAAAACAGAAACTTAACTTGCTCTTTTAGAAATGCAGTGTAAAAGAAAAAATACAGCATGGAAATTATTCTTCCTGGTTTTTGCACATAAGGAAAATCAAGTGGAATCATATCCAGGCATGTAGATCTCTGGTACCACACCCCCCTACTCAAAAATTAGACTTGGATTTAGGAACTAAGGAAAAAACAAACAAACAAAAAACCCCTCATAAAACAAAAACCTGCTCAAAAAGCAGAAGTGGAGTCTTTGTAAATGTGATATACAGCAAGACTGGGCTTGAGTATTTGTATTACATGTGGTAAGTCAAATATACTTCCCAAAGTTTTCTTGCAAGCTTTTTTTAATTATGGAAGTAAAATATGATTGTCTGTCTTAATCTAGCCATAGATTTTCTTTGCAACTTGTTACAGCTTTCATGGATTATTAGAAATATCTACTAGGTGATGAGATCCTGAATCAATACAAATAAGTAAAAAACAAAACACATTTTGGCTGCTTCCCAGAGAAAAATTTTAGCCATCTCCTAAACTTTACAGAAAGAATCTGAGGTTAGATGTAAAAAAATTGGCACTTACCTTTTTTTGTGTGTTCAGCCTTTAGTCCTTGGCCAGCTGAGGGCGTGATGGTGAAAATCCTGCAG